AGGTTCTCAACAAGCAGAGTTGTTGAGAGAACAAGGTGCTCAACAGTTTGAACTGTTGAGACAGCAGCAGGCTGCTGCTGGCGGGTCGATGCACTCGCGTCGGCCCGAGACTTTGAAGATTGACATCTCAAAGTATAGGGGGTCGAAGAAGACTCCCTCTTGAGATGGTTCGTCGAATTGGATGACGCCATAAGGGCGCGTCGCATCGACGACGGGGATATGCAAGTTGCATTTGCCCAGTCAAATCTGGCAGGACGTGCCAAGACTTGGGCACTGGGGCTCAAGCTGCACGACCCATACGCGTTTGGGTCGTTGGAAGTCTTCAAGTCGCGGCTCAGACAAACGTTTGAACCGCCTAGAGCTGAGTTCAGAGCTCGAACCGAACTCTTGAAGCTCAAGCAGGGTAAGCGTGATGTGCACGCTTACGCTCAACATATACGACATCTCACGAGTTGTATAAGTTCCAATCCGGTGGATGAACACACGTTGGTTTCGGTGTTCATGCAGGGTCTTGCGGATGGTCCCGTCAAGACTCACCTGTTCCGGCTTGAACTAGATTCACTAGAACAAGCCATTTCAATTGCGGAGCAGAAAGACTTCAGTCTGAGACAGGCTCGCGCCAGCTCTACATCATGTCTTTCACCGAGACGATATGACAACGGAGGTCCAGAGCCGATGGAACTCTGTTATGTAGAGAGCGAGAAGGCTCGCTCTACAGGCTAAAAGAAGTTGCAGAAATGCAACAGACGTCAAAAGACAGGACACTACGCTTACGAGTGTAGTGCCCCTCGTCCAGTGTCTCGCAACACTGGGCGTAATGACCGTCAACCCATGATAAAGGGGCAGGGACGCGGGTCCGCTGTTGGTGCAAAGACGCAACAACGGGATAGACCGTAAAAAACGGACAGGATCAGTAGGTGCGGAGCACCCTACTGGTCTAGCAACGTCAAGAGAATTTGTAGGCCTCTTGATGAAGGTTGCTCCCAACACACAAACGTTGTGCGTTGCTGCTCTAAGTAATGAGATCTCCCTCATTACCTTGAAACTCGAAGTGACGAATAAGTTGTCCCTTCGAGCTCTAGTCGATTGTGGGGCGTCCAACAATTTTGTGCAACGCCAATCGCTAGAAGATGGTCACTTTAAGCTCAGTGAATGTGACACACCTCCGACGAGGATGACGGTACGTCTTGCGACAGGCGCATCCGTAACCGTCATGCAGCGTATAGTGAAGATCCACTATACGCTAGAAGATACCCAATATGATGATGACTTTGTCGTATTGGATTTGGATGACAAATTTGATGTCATCCTTGGAATATTTTGGCTCAGAAGGTACGAACCACGAGTAAACTGGCAACATCGAACAGTAACGATGCCTGCCGCTTGCTCATCAGATGGCCATCTGATGAACGTTTTGGAGCGTCCACAAGCGTGTGGATGTACTACGAGTGAGTGCGATGGCCTCACATGTGGTACGGTCGTTAGTACGACTGCACAGAACCTTAGTGTAGCAAACGGTTACACTTCGGAGCAAAGTTCCGGCGGCTGTGAGGAAACACAGGCTGCGCCGAAGGTCCACCACTCGAATAAGTCGAGTGTACCAGGACAAAGATGTATCCCTAGCGGGGAACATCTAGAAGAGAAACAATCGATCGCTCAGGTTAAGCGAATCGATAATCCTAGATCGACTGGAGAGCCTTTCTTAGAGGATCTCGCTGTGGTTGCGCAGCCACAGCTAGAGAAAGTTCAGGGAATAAGTCCCGATATTACAAATACGGCGGAAATAAGTTCCCCGAAACCCGCGGGAATAAGTCCCCGGGAAGCCGAAGGAATAAGTCCTTCAAAGCCTGAGGGAATAAGTCCCCAGGAAATGACAGAGACATTGAATGTCCTAGTCAATAACGGATCATGTGTAGGCGCTTATACACTTGATCTGATTGCGCCTCCGAAGTTAACTTCGAAGATCACTCAGTTGCCAACGCTCGAACATAAAAGGTTCTTGCGTGATCTGCGTAGTGGCAAAGTCAAGCAGATCTGCGTACTCATCGCTGACGACGAGTGCGTAACCGACATAAGGTCAGCAACAATGTTTACTGAGAAGGAGAGACTTCTCAGTAGTTCATCTATGGACGAGAGTGTCCTAGATGAAAAGACACGAATTGAGCGATATGACTCCCAATCGTGGGAATCGCTCAAGACAAATCCTCTCTATGAAGATTTGGTTGAATTCAAGGATGTATTCCCTGAAACTGTTCCGTGCGAATTACCGAAGGATAAAGGTATTCGACACGAAGTCGAGCTTAAACCAGGCTCGAAGTACTGTGTCATGAAGCAGTGGCCACTGCCTCGTGAACAAGTACTTGCGATCGACAAGTTCTTTGCCGATCGTTTAGCAGCGGGCCATATGAGGGAATCAACTTCCCCACATAGCTCTCCGACCTTCTGTGTGCGAAAAGCAACAGGAGGGTGGAGGATATTGCACGCGTTTAACAAATTGAACGCTGCAACGGTACCGGCTCAGACGCCGATACCGAGGAAGGACGCCATCATTGATGGTATGTCAAAGAGTACCATCTTTTCGTCCATGGATTTGATGGATGGCTTCTATCAAATCCTTATGCGGGAACGGGATATACCCTATACTGCAGTTAGCACGCCTAGCGGCATGCTCTGGGAATGGCTAGTAATGCCACAAGGGCTCAGTAATGCCCCTGCCACGTTCAACAGATGTGTATCACATCTGTTGAGACCAGTACGAGAATTCGCGCCGAGTTATTTCGATGACGTATTCATCCATAGTCGAGCTATGGATGGAAAGTTGGACGTTGAGGTTCACAGGTACCACGTCCGACAGGTTCTTACAATCATGCGAAAGCATCAATTGTATGCTAACCTCAAGAAGTGTATATTTGCAGCAAGCGAAATATCACTTCTTGGGTGCATCGTTGGTAAGAACGGTGTACGTCCTGATCCCGGAAAGATCAAGGCGATCACCGACTGGCCTGTGCCGGTTGATGTCAAAGGTCTTCGAAAATTCCTCGGGCTAGTGGCGTATTTGCACAAGTATTCACGCAATTACGCCGAGATGACTGTACACCTCTCTCGTTTGTTGAAAAAGAACGAGAGGTGGTTATGGAACGCTGAATGTCAGCGCTCCTTTGATGGTATCAAGCAGAGCTTGATACAATCCCCAGTCTTATCAATTGCCGATCAGGACAGGCCATTTCATGTGGTCTATGATGCCAGCGATTTTACAATCAGCTGTGCACTAATGCAGTACGATCTTGAAGGCGTTGAACGTGTCGTCTGCTATCAGTCGCGTCAGCTGCAACCAGCTGAGCGGAACTATCCAGTGCATGACAAGGAACTCCTTGCCATGAAGTAAGCACTCGATAAGTTCAAAGTCTATCCATTGGGAGATAGACCCTTCATTGTTTACACAGATCATGCGTCATTACGCACGGCAGTAAACAGCCGCAACTTTCACAACGAATGGCGCGGTGGTTGTCATTCTTTGCAGAATACAACTTTACGGTCGAGTACAAACCAGGACGACTTAATGTCGTCGCTGATGCACTCTCACGTCGGCCCGACTTTGAATTAGTCGTGAAACCCAACAGTGAGACTGCCACTGATGCGGTTATGACGACCTCAGTCCCATCTTCAACGTTATATGATGATGTGAGGCGGGCTTATGCCCAAGATGGTGAGATAGTGAAGTTGTTGTCACATCTCTCCCAACCATCTCGAGAATCGTTGAAACGATTGTCGCCTGCGTATCGATCTGCATCAGATAGATACACTACTCGTAACGGTTTACTGTACTATACAGCCGTTTCTGGTGACACACCACGTGTTGTCATTCCAGATGATACTGATCTGCGTTTACGGATCATGTTCGAGTATCACGATGCTCCTATAGGAGGACATCGTGGCCGAGAGAAAACATATCTCACGGTAAGTCGAGACTTTTACTGGCCCCGCCAGTATCAGTTTGTGCGAAAGTATGTTCGCGCATGCGAAGTCTGCCAACGAGTCAAGTCAAGTCCTTCACTGCGTGCACCTTTACAGCCTCTACCGGTTCCGGCTGAGTGCTGGGAATCCATCTCAATGGATTTCGTCTTCGGATTACCCAAAGACGCACGCGGGAATACGGGTAGTCTCGTATTTGTTGACAGATTCAGCAAAATGGTACACCTTGTGGCTGTACCAGAGTCAATCACGGCAAGTGGCTGTGCTTGTGTCTTTCTTGACACCATCTTCCGACTTCATAGGTTACCCGTGAACTCGTATCAGACAGAGATCCACGCTTCACTGCTGATTTCTGGCGTTCCGTGTTCAAATCACTCGGAACGCGCTTGAAGATGTCAACATATGATCATCCAGAGTCAGATGGTCAGACGGAACGTGCCAATCGTGTCCTCGAAGAGATACTTCGAGGATACGTACACTCCTTTAAGAGTTGGAGTGAGTTTTTGCCGATGGTAGAGTTTGCCATCAACAACTCGGTGCATGCGTCCACGACACATACACCGTTTTACGTGAACGGCTTGCGCCATCCGCGTGTACCCACCTTACTAGAGTGTAACTCTGGTTTAAGGGGGGGAGGGACTCGCGCGAACAAAAACCGAATTGGTTCACGCTCATCACGCTCTGACGAAGAAGTCATTGCGTTTGATGCCGATATCGATAACATCGATATCGAAGATGATGATGCCAGTGAGAGTGCGGAATCCCTCACTGAAGAAAAGGTTGATGTTGCTGCAGTGCGCTCACAGCGCACTGAAGCTAAAGAGTCATCAGATGAGTTCATACTGGCTCGTGTAACGGTAGTCCGTTTTGTGCAAGACTCCATCGCCGAAGCGGTGGACAAGCAAAAGCAAAACGCTGACAAGAATGGAAGGGCAAACACTCTTTTATTTAATAAAGGTGACTTAGTCCTACTGTCTACGGTTAATCTACCAAAGCATGTAGTGACTAACTTGGGTAGCAGTGAACTACTACCCAAGTACATCGGCCCATTTCGTGTATTGCACCGCCTGGGCAACGCATACACGATCGAGTTACCACGTAAGATGCGAACGCATCCCACGTTTTACGCTGGTCGGCTTAAGCCGTACCATCAGTACGCTGCTTCTTCCGATGAAGAACCCCTTGCGCTCAAGCATCTCGCAGAGAGCCTTGTGCTCCCGATGGTGGGCATCAACAAGGGTCTGAAGAGCAGCTATCTCATCCCGAGACCGATCAGCAATCCCACGAGCTACCCTTAGCTCGTCACGAAGAGATGTCAGAGATCTCTCGTTCTCAAGCTGAGCAAAGGCAAACTCATCTCGATGCTTCGAGACAGCGTCCGCCAGTTGGAGACGCCTGTCCCGCTCATGTTCGAGATCGCCGCGTAACCCTTGCGTTACGCGATCAAAGAAGCTCTCGGGAACACACGCTTCCCTACGATTGTTTGGAGAGCGTCTTTCCTCCTCCTCCACCTCCATTGGAGGACTATTGCGGTGGCCAGCGCTATCTGGTTGAGCGGCTGTTAAACCACCGCGATGTGAACGGACGTCGGACGAGTTACCTCGTCCGGTGGCGCAGCTATCCCCCGTCCTGGGATACTTGGGAGCCCCGCTCCCAACTGATGATCGACGTACTGGGTCTGGTTGAGCAGTACGACGCGGCACATCCTGTGCCGCAGAAGGACCGCCGGAGAAAGTCTTCCCGGCACGGTCGTAAAGGGATTTCAAGTTGTCAATCCCTTCGTACATCTCAGTAGAGACACGTACGGGCCACCACGGGCTGGTAAGGAGGTAAGCCTCCTTAGGTGCTCGTGCAGAGTTGTTCACACAACATGGGCACGAGTCTCCCCAAGAGAGCCAGGGTAATCCCTTCTCCCTTGACAGACGATGCAGCTTGTAGCGTGCACCTGTCGGGGTTCGCTTTTCAAACTTATCACGAGCTTTGATAAGTTTGTCGTTCCAAGCGTAACGACCTACATCCTCAAGGTTATGGATGTAGGCGTCCCACGCATGAAGTAGTGAGGGATCATCACGTTTGTGATTCCCACTGTAACATCGATGTCTAAAGAAAGCATCGATGAAGAATTCATGTTCAGCGCGATAGTTTTTCGCGCTGGGGTCAAGGTGATGGATTCTTGACGAATCGAACAATCGTGTTCGATAACGATCACTCGTCGTCGCCGACAAGTGATCCATGACGGATTTTGGAGGCATCCATGCCTTCTTCTCAGGAGCGAGACGCAACACATTGCGGTCCCGCTCTTCCTGCGACGTGCCGACAGAAGTACTGGCACCTCGTTACGAAGTGGTGTCCATTGGAGAAACGACACCACTATTAGCGCCCGAGTCTCGCGACCTCGAGCGCCTTCGCTTCGGCGATGGTTCATCTGATTCATCAGATGAACCAAAGATGCTGCGACGCAAAGCATCATCCATGCCACGCTTGGCAGGCGGCTTAGATTCAATCGCCGTCGATACGGATCCGTCATCCGTATCAGGAGAGTACGAGACACCGAGCTCGTACTCTGTGAAGACATGAGTGTCTTCATGACGAGCACCTGCATCACCAAGTGACACAGGCTGGGTCGCTTCAGCAACCGATGAGACATCAGTTGCTGCGGTTTCTGCTTCGGCGTCCGCACAGAGACGTGCAGACGCGCTCTCGGCGGCCTTGCTCGCGCATCGCATGGGCTTGTTAACCATGCGATGAGATGTTGGAAAGTGGACGCGGACCAACAAGTGCAAACCCTGTCCCAAATGATTTGGGACGAGTATCCATTTAGTCAATCAGTCACTAAAGTGACTGATGGTTAGGGGGGGTGATGTAACGGGGTGAATCGTTACATAACAATTTATAAGAAATTGTTAATAGAATATAACTATAAGAGTTATATTCTCAGAATATTGTCATAAGGACAAATATTCTGTAGCACTTACGAGTAGTCCCTAATTGGTTGATATAGGCCATTATATCAACCAACGAAGACGCGCCACGACAGACGCACGCAATGAGTGGTGAGCAGATAGTTGATGTGCACATTTGTATTTAGACATAGTTAGATGAAGATAAACAGTGGTTTATTAACAGACATTAACTATTATAAATACAGTTCTACTTTTTACTTAAACTAAGTACTCGCTTCTCCTTACCGTCTTCCTCTGCACGTACGAGTGCACGTGAAGTACAAGCTTCAGGGTGCCCCGTTACACCTCTTTTTGTTCTCGAGAGCCCGCACTCCTTTTACACCCGACAAGGAGTTCCATTCTCTTGGCCTCCATGAGCTTGGCGGGAAGTTTGAGAACGAGCCGAAGGTCGAGAGATGGTTTGGTCTCATGCAACAATATAGAGCTCGTGAGCCTCACTACGTACTTTTCAGTGATTCGGAGGTTTTTTACTATCTGGCGGAGCACGCACCCGTCGAAACTGTACTCAAGGTGCTTGAGAAGAATGAGATGAAGGACTATGCTAGCATATTGCGCAATAACCTGAAACAGCCGAATTCACTGACGATGGATGGACTACTTGATCGGTGGATGAAGGCGAAATTCCCTCCCTCCCGTGTGTTCCATCTTCTAGGCTTAGACGTAGGTGGATGGCTGTAAACTGACTCGACGGCTCTTGACTTGACCAAGAACTTGGAAGTTTGTAACGGGGCACCCTGAAGCTTGTACTGGTGACAGTACAAGCTACTTATTCTGATAACAGAATAAGGCGGTGCCTCGTAACTTCACGTACACTCGTACGTGCAGAGGAAGACGGTAAGAAGAAGCGAGTACTCGGTTAGAGTAAAAAGTAGAACTGTATTTATAATAGTTAATGTCTGCTATAAATCACTATTTATCTTCATCTAACTATGTCTAAATACAAATGTGCACATCAGTTATCTGCTCACCACTCATTGCGTGCGTCTGTCGTGGCGCGTCTTCGTTGGTTGATATAATGGCCTATATCAACCAATTAGGAACTACTTGAAGTGCTACAGAATATTGTCCTTATGACAATATTCTGAGAATATAACTCTTATAGTTATATTCTATTAACAATTTCTTATAAATTGTTATGTAACGATTCACCCCGTTACATCACCCCCCCCTTAACCATCAGTCACTTTAGTGACTGATTGACTAAATGGATACTCGTCCCAAATCATTTGGGACAGGGTTTGCACTTGTTGGTCCGCGTCCACTTTCCAACATCTCATCGCATGGTAAACAAGCCCATGCGATGCGCGAGCAAGGCCGCCGAGAGCGCGTCTGCACGTCTCTGTGCGGACGCCGAAGCAGAAACTACAGCAACTGATGTCCCATCGGTTGCTGAATCGACTCAGCCTGTATCACCTGGTGATGCAGGCGCTGGTCATGAAGACACTCGTGTCTTCACAGAGTACGAGCTCGGTGTCTCGTACTCTCCTGATACGGATGACGGATCCGTATCGACGGCAATTGAATCCAAGCCGCCTGCCAAGCGTGGCATGGACGATGCTTTGCGTCGCAGCATCTTTGGTTCATCTGACTCATCAGATGAACCATCGCCGAAGCGAAGGCGCTCGAGGTCGCGAGACTCGGGCGCTAATAGTGGTGTCGTTTCTCCAATGGACACCACTTCACAGCGAGGTGCCAGTACTTCTGTCGGCACGTCGCAGGAAGAGCGGGACCGCAATGTGTTGCGTCTCGCTCCAGAAAAGAAGGCATGGATGCCTCCTAAATCTGTCATGGATCACTTGTCGGCGACGACGAGTGATCGTTATCGAACACGATTGTTCGATTCGTCGAGGATTCATCACCTTGACCCCAGCGCGAAAGACTATCGCGCTGAACATGAGTTCTTCATCGATGCTTTCTTCAGACATCGATGGTACAGTGGGAATCACAAACGTGATGGTCCCTCACTACTTCAGGCGTGGAACGCCTACATCCATAATCTCGAGGATGTAGGTCGTGACGCTTGGAACGACAAACTTATCAAAGCTCGTGATAAGTTTGAAAAGCGAACCCCGACAGGTGCACGCTATAAGCTGCATCGTCTGTCAAGGGAGAAAGGATTACCCTGCCTCTCTTGGGGAGACTCGTGCCCATGTTGTGTGAACAACTCTGCACGAGCACCTAAGGAGGCTTACCTCCTTACCAGCCCGTGGTGGCGCGTACGTGTCTCTACTGAGATGTACGAAGGGATTGACAACCTGAAATCCCTTTACGACCGTGCCGGGAAGACTTTCTCCGGCGGTCCTTCTGCGGCACAGGATGTGTCGCGTCGTACTGCTCGACCAGACCCAGTACGTCAACCATCAATTGGGAGCGGGGCTCCCAAGTATCCCAGGACGGGGGATAGCTGCGCCACCGGACGAGGTAACTCGTCCGACGTCCGTTCACATCGCGGTGGTTTAACACCTGCTCTACTAATAAGCGCTGGCCACCGCAATAGTCCTCTAATGGAGGTGGAGGAGGAGGAAAGACGCTCTCCACACGATCATGTGGATCGGTGTGTTCCCGAGAGCTTCTTTGATCGCGTAACGCAAGGGTTACGCGACGATCTCGAGCATGAGCGGAATAGGCGTCTCCAGATGGTGGACACTGCCTCGAAGCATCGAGCTGAGTTTGCCTTTGCTCAGCTTGAGAACGAGAGATCTCTGACATCTCTTCGTGACGAGCTAAGGGTAGCTCGTGGGATTGTTGATCGGTCTCGGGCTGAGATAACTGCTCTTCAGACCCTTGTTGATGCCCACCATCGGGAGCACAAGGCTCTCTGCGAGATGCTTGAGCGCAAGGGCGTTCTTCATCGGAAGAAGCAGCGTACTGATGGTACGGCTTAAGCCGACCAACGTAAAACGTGGGATGCGTTCGCATCTTACGTGGTAACTCGATCGTGTATGCGTTGCCTAGGCGGTGCAATACACGAAATGGGCCAATGTACTTGGGTAGTAGTTTACTGCTACCCAAGTTAGTCACTACATGTTTTGGTAGATTAACCGTAGACAGTAGGACTAAGTCACCTTTATTAAATAAAAGAGTGTTTGCCCTTCCATTCTTGTCAGCGTTTTGCTTTTGCTTATCCACCGCTTCGGCGATGGAGTCTTGCACAAAACGGACTACCGTTACACGAGCCAGTATGAACTCATCTGATGACTCGTTAGCTTCAGTGCGCTGTGAGCGCACTGCAGCAACATCAACCTTTTCTTCAGTGAGGGCTTCCGCACTCTCACTGGGATCATTGTCTTCAGTGAGGGCTTCCGCACTCTCACTGGCATCATCTTCTTCGATATCGATGTTATCGATATCGGCATCAAACGCAATGACCTCTTCGTCAGAGCGTGATGAGCGTGAACCAAATCGGTTTTTGCTCGCGCGAGTCCCTCCCCCTTAAACCAGAGTTACACTCTAGTAAGGTGGGTACACGCGGATGGCGCAAGCCATTCACGTAAAACGGTGTATGCGTCGTGGACGCATGCACCGAGTTGTTGATGGCAAACTCTACCATCGGCAAAAACTCACTCCAACTCTTAAAGGAGTGTACGTATCCTCGAAGTATCTCTTCAAGGACACGATTGGCACGTTCCGTCTGACCATCTGACTCTGGATGATCAGATGTCGACATCTTCAAGCGCGTTCCGAGTGATTTGAACACGGAACGCCAGAAATCAGCAGTGAATCGTGGATCTCTGTCTGATACGAGTTCACGGGGCAACCCATGAAGTTGGAAGATGGTGTCAAGAAAGACACAAGCACAGCCACTTGCCGTGATTGACTCTGGT